TGAAACTCAGACTGGCAGGTAGTACAACAGGACCATTACCTACCTTGGTTTTGACACTGTTAATTGCTGTGATGTAGAATGAGATGGAATTAGCCTTGTGGGCACACTCATATTGCTCATAGATTAAGTTTGCCATTAACTAAAGTCCTTAATTTTTTTTTTGACATGATAGATATTAGATCACAAATCTGGAGCTAGAAGAGAACTAAAGGGGCCATCTAGTCCAACCTTCTCATTTTACAGTTAATGAAAGTGAAGCCCAGGGCACGTAAATGGAATGTCCAATGTCACACAGGAAGAAAATGTCACTGGCATGATTTGCTTCAGTAGACCTTTCTCCCTAAATGTGTTACTTGGAGCCACCCTCAGGGTTCTAAATTTTGATGAAACACTTAAACACTTGGAGCTTCGGTTTTCTTATCTGTCAAATGGTTTATTACAATAGCCTTTTGGTTAGTCTTCTTGCTTCAAATCTCTCCCTACTCTAATCCATCATCCATGCAAGTTGCCAAAATGATTTTCCTAAAGCACAAGCCTGGTAATTTTACAACCCTCCTCCCCACTCAATAAACTCCAGTGGATCTCTTTTGCCTTAGGATGAAAGGTAAAATCCTCTATCATTTAAACCTCTGGACACTTCCCACCTTTGCAGTCCTCTTATACTTTATTCCTCTATACAAACTTTACCATCTAGGCACACTGGCCTATTTGCAATTCTTTAACACTATATTAAATTCTGTGTCTCCACCCTTGTCTTAGCTAGTCTCTCTTTTCACCTCTTTCACCATGGAATCTCACCTGGATTCCATGATTTCTCCAAGACTTAACTTAAATTCCAGCTTCTTCAGGTGGCCTTCTATAATTCTTCCATTACCTTTCCTTCTGATATTAACTCCTATCTATTCTGCTTCAGTAGGTATCTTGCACATATCTAATTATCTAAAAGTTGTCTTCCTCATTAGAATGAAGTCTTTAAGGGTGGGAACTGTTTCTACCTTTCTTAGTATCTCCAGAACTTGGCAGAGTGCCTGGATCATAGCATATACTTAATAAATTTTTTTGATCAATTAAGCATTAATAACTTTTCTTCAAAGATCTCTAATTTTATCAGTGAAGGTTCACTCTCTACTGATGCATCTTGCAACCTCTTTCCATTTTGGTAGGTGTTTCCTATGTAACAAAAAAAAAATCTTCACAGTGACTCAAATATTCTTAGGACAAGCCTCATTAAATTTAAGTCAGCTATACTGGCAGATGATAGATAAATGGTACTGGTTTTGTCAAATCTGCCAGAGCCTGACAACAGCAATATAATATTTGAATTTATTATTGACTTCTTAAATGGACAATATTCTACCAATCATGTAATTTCCTGGGTATCTGACAAATATGACTTTACTACTCTCATACGGATGGACTTAAGAATTTCTGAAACTTTAGTTACAATATATAGAGTCTACATATTAATATTCTCCAAACTCAGTCATTTACTTCTTTTATCTATTCTTCTTTTATGAATTAGATGGAAGAAAATTAAGAAGCCACCTTGTCAAACCTATACTTGAAAAAGAATCCATTCTATCATATCCTCAACACATGGCAATGTAGTATTTGCTTAAATACCTCTATTGAAAGGGAACTCACTTGCTGTTGAGAGAGGCTGTTAGTTACTCTTTTGCAGTTGTTAGGACTTTTTCTCCTTACATGAATCTAGAATATAACTGCAGTTTTCAACCACTGCCTGTCTAGGACCAACCAGAATGAGTCTAATTTCTTTTCTAATAGCCTTTCAATAACAGAAGTCAACTATCATCTTTGTCCTAAGCTATCTATTTTCTAGGCCAAACAATCCCAGTTCCTTTCATGGATCTTTATATGGAATGATCTTCAGGCCTTTAAACCATCTAGGTCATCTACTTCTTTATGTTCCCCGGCTGATTAATCTTCTTCTTAAAATATGGCAGTCAAACCAGAGCACAATACTCCAGGTACAGTTAAGTAAAGTTTCAATTAAGATTAACTAAATGAAAGGGAAATCTGAATCAGTATATAAAGAATTATTTTAAAATCATCTATTTTTCTAAATTAAGTTTTGACAATCAGAAGTCATGTGAAGTGTGATACAATAAATATCTAAGACCTATTTGCTATTTGCACAATATGGAATGCATAAAAATTATATTGCTAAAATGTTATTTTAATGATGGCAATCTCCCTCCTTAAAAGTATCTTTGAATCATTAGATTTCTTAGTTACTATATTCTTGAGAAATACTTCCACAAGGGGAAGGGTAATAAAGGAAGTGTTCACTCCAGATGAGTTTTCTAGTCAACTCGATGAAATTGTAGGGAATCGATCAATGTTTAGAAGCAAATGCAGGGTATCTCTCATGGAATATGGGTGTGCCCACTGGCATTCTTAATTAATGGCTAAGAATCAATCAAACTTCCTCATGATTGACAAAAATAGGCTAGTCATTTTCACTCAGAATTACTTTCCACTTTCATAAATAAACTGTAGCATACTAGCAACGACATGCATTTTAGAGGTAGAGGAAAGAAGTTTGTGGTCATATACAGTTTCCTTCTCTCCAGGGTAGGTTTCTACTTCACATGCTTTTCCAGCTGGCCTGAGAAGGCAGTTGCTGGAACTCAAGTTCCTGGATAGATTTCTGCCTTTCTGTTGCCATTTCTTATAGCAACTGGGACAGGAAGAGGTATCCTGATGATGTCTATGGCAAAACCAGAGCCACTAGGCACAGCCTTTGTTTGATATCTCGTGGGGAAACCTAAGTTCAAAAGTTCCTGAGTTTAAGAGTTTAAGTACCAGATTTTCTAGAGAGAGAAAGTGATTTCTTGATGTATTGTGCTCCTCTGAGAAAGGAGAAGAGTAACACCATGAGTTATTCTAACAAAGCAGGTCTGATGCTTGTTCAATAGTCTCTAAAGAGTGTTTACTTTCCAAAGGGATTCTAACCCTGAAGATAGTGCCATGTATCTTTGGGTCAGTCACTATGTATTTATGGAAAAGAGGGACTCATTGGAATAACATAGTTTCCCTGATGACAATTCAAAGTTCATTTTCCTTCTGAAGTAGGCTAAAGGTCATTTCTATATCTAGTTACATTCTCTCAACTGCACGTGAAGGCAACAAGCTATAGAGAACTTAATCCTTTAGAGGCATCTCCAAGGATTGGATTCTGTCTATGTTCTGACCAAAGTTGCAGATGTGACCCCCGAAGATGTAAGAATCTTTAAGGAACAATGAGGATGCTTGTCTAATTGTGCCTATAAAACACCTCTGGATTTTCTAAAAGATAAGAAAATTAGATTCTAAAAACAATAGACTAATATGCATTATACTCTCCCCCCATTCAAAAATTGATTATTAGCTAGATAATTTTGGGGTACCTAAAAGGGAAATATGATCTTAGAGATGAATATAAGCTCATTGGGAAAAAAATCATACCAAAAAATATTTTTTTTCTTAGCATCAAAACACTGGCAGAAAAATGTTCATAATGCTAGCATAGCACTTCTGAATTTGGCAAGCTGTTTTACAAAGTCCCTCAAGAAATCCTCATGGACAAGATGGTGAAGTACAGTCTGGACAGATAGGAGAGTAAAGATTCATTGCAGCTGGTTGGGCAACTTTTAGCCAAAGATTCTTAACTACATAATAGATTGATATCAACTAGGAATGTAGACGTATGAAAGTAGAGGTTGTTAACTTGCCAGGGATATTTCAGAAAAGATTATGCATATAGTAAGAGGTTGGATTGGGTGACTTCTAAGGGTCCTTCCAGTTCTAAGAGTCTATGATTCTTCTGTTGATTTTACAGAACTCTTAGAAATATACTATGCACTTCTCTCAAGTGATATATTCCAGGGCCTAGCAACTCCTGTTGTTAACCAATCTTTCAATAAACAAAAATCTCCATACACCATGTCCTCATTTAAGGTACTATTTATTATGTATTTTTGTCTTTAACTAAGGTAATTAGTTACTAATCACCAGTTTCCATAAAAGTTCATATGGTTCTATAATATTGAGTATCCAAGCTTGTTATGTGCTCTCAATGAAGAAAGGAAATTATGGCTGTTGGAACTATATCTGAGTCAGGATGTTATTTCAAGTCTGGTCAGTTTTCTGGATTAAGGAGGTGAAAAGGGAGGAACAAATGGAAGCATGATAAATGATGGATTTTCAATCAGGTGTCTACCTCTGCTATAATCTGCAACTCAGAAACCAACTCCCCAAATCCTACACATTCCTTGTATTATCAATGATGCAATTTTGTCTGATTCCTTTTATATCTCTCTTCACCTTTATGGAAAGTTTACTACATTCCAACTTCAAAATCCTTTACCTACTTTTTAGCAGTACTGTTTTCTGCTGCTTTCATTGTTTCCTGTTTGCTTTTCTAAACTTCCTTTTCGGCTTTGCAGCTTTGAACTTGATAAAACGCATTGGTTAGATATGGTGGTGGTGGTGTTTAGTCATTTTTTAGTTGTGTCTAACTCTTTGTGACCTTGTTTGGGGTTTTCTTGCTAAAGATACTAGAGTGGTTTGCCATTTGATTCTCTAGCTTATTTTACAGATGAGGAAACTGAGGCAAATAGGATTAAATGACTTGCTCAGGGTCACACAGTTAGTAAGGTTCTGTGGCCAGATTTGAACTCAGGAAGATAAGTCTTCCTGACTCCAGGAGCAGCAGTCTATCCACTGCACCACCTAGCTGCTCCTAGAGTACGGTAATGATATCCTATACTAGTGAGGGGAAAAAAGATAAAATTCAGCAGCAACAATGTACATTCAGATGTACTATGTTAGATTAATTTTAATTGTTTAAATTGTTTAAAAAATGACTGGTGCTCTTAGTTGGTTACTTTGAATGAAATATGCTATGTCATAGACACATTGGGTATGTCCAACACCAAGCACTTTGCAAACCTGCTCTGAAGTGAGACATTTTAATGCAGCAGAGCGAGTCTTCTCACCATTTATGAGCCGCTGTCAATGAATGCTCCTCAGCTTCTTGGTCAATTTTCGCTGCAAACATGGAAGGAAAAAAAAAGAGATGCTATAAATACTAAATAAGTGCCATTATCTCAAGGAGAATATGATGCAAACCTTATAAAATTATTATATAGCAACATTTAACAGCATACCTAACTATAAACCTAATATTCATTGATTCATAAACAGCTTCAATCAACTTAAAACATCCTACAGATATATATATGTGTATATATGTATATATATATATATGTATATATATATATATATATACATATTTAACCACCATATTCTCCTCTAATATTTTAATCTTCTATGATGTCATCAGTGCATATACTTTGTCAACCACTACAACTTGGTTGAAAGGTTATGAGAGATTTTGTGGCCCCCAAAATATCAGAAGGCTAGTCTGGTAATGACTCTCTCTGAACTCAGCCACTGCGCTCCCTGGACAATAGGCATAATGGATACTTTGCTGGGCCAATACTCAAAGCTTTTCTAACTTTGCAGAACCTGCAAGAGCTCAGGTTCTATGGACATATATTTATATAGACTTTGAGAGCCAGGGTCACCTCCATTTCATGTTTAGGCACTAGAATAGGATGTCATTGGTGAAAATGTAAACACAATGGACACATAATTTAAGGTTTGTAGTTTTTATCCCTCTAAATTAGGTATATAATATTCCTATAAGCAAGACATAGATTTCATGTTCTATGTGGCTTTTAGGATCTTTAAAAACAATTCCTAGGATTGATAGGATGATAACTTCAGAAAAAAATTCTAAAAAAGTGACAATAAAAAAAATGTGAATATGATATAGGTATAAGATTTAATTACCTTATTGTACCCTTATTTATTCACTAATATAATAGTGCTACAGAGAAGACAACAACTTGAAGTTTTTAGATTTAGGAGGATCTAGGAGGTTGTCTACAATTTTCCCAATGAACAGTAATCTAACCTTTGCTCAAAAGCCTCCAGTCATAGTGAACTGAACTTTGAAAAAGTCTATCCCATTTTTGGTTGGGGGTTGAGGGGAGGGCTGACAGGTCTACTTGTTAGGAATTTGTCCATTTTACTAATTAGTGAAACCATAAAATCAGAAAACGTTAAATTTCACTTTTCTGTAGCAAACTTGAATCTACAGCATTTCCATTAATTTTGAAAACAACAATTCTGCTTTGATTGTAGTTATTATGCCACAAAGTCAACTGAAGAAAGTGGCATGACTTCAGTCAGTCATCATTAAAGAAATGTACATCGCAAAAGTTCACAAACTCAGAGATTATAACTCTAGAGGTATACAAAAGAACCTCAAGATTTACTACAAATGAAAATTTTAAAAAAATTGACATTTCATTGCCATACTGCTAGTTTGAAGAATGTTGAAATTTCATCACCATTTTTAAATTATTTCAGAAGATACGGTTATAAGGATACACAGCGTACATTATAAGAATCAAAAGCAAAAGGTTCAGTAGCAACAGGCAAAGAAACTATCCACCAAGGAGTTTATCTTTCTGTCTGAATATTCCATTTGGAACACAATGGTGGGTGAGTTCATATTTTGGTAATGAAGGAATAGAAATGGCAAAATTAATAAAATAAGAAAATAAATTTAATAACAAAAAAAAAACTAAGTTGGAGATATGCAGAGAGAAACATTTTACTTGTGGATTTCTTAAGTGTCTCCATCACTACTTAAAACACAAAAGTACAGCTTGGACTGGTTAGTGTTTTGCAGCCCCAAGACGGGGTTTTTCAAATGTCTGTACAGTATCTGTAAAGTCATAACTGAGTGTCATACTCCTACTATTTGCCAGAATTGCTAAAATTTGACAGGATCATTTGAGCTGGCGGCAAGGATCTCTGCTCCCACCCCTAAAACCCCACACACTTTGCACATTAGATGGTTTACATAAGTCTACAGGTCAATTGTTTACCATATTAAAAATGGGACAAATGTTCCATGATTTATTCTTTGAAAGAGTTTCAGCATGAACACTCTGCACCATAAAAATTTGCTCTGGGCTGCCTGGCACAAAGAAAGATTTCCATGCAGAAGCAACTCTATAAATACAAAAGGGTTGCTTAAACACACACACACACACACACAACACACACACACACACACACATCAAAACAAACCTAGACCATTTTCAGGAAAGCCTTTGAAATGTTATCAAATTTAGTTTACAAAATCAGATTCAGACTTAGACTGGAAAAGGATATTTCTTATGATAGTTAAAATAGATTTTTAAAGAAATCATTGCATTGAGCTTCATATCAACAAGTTAAGTTTTTACCTCCTTAGTATATGGTACAGACACTTTTTTCAAATATGTATTCCTTGCATGCAAGGAGACAGAATACTAATAACATTGGATTTTCTGAAGTGATATCATAAAAGATATAGCATTCAAGTTGTCCCCTAAATCATGATAAACAGACGGAAGTGAATATTAGCTTATTTCATTTACAATTTTTAAAGGAGCTATGTAGGAGCTCTATAAAGATTTATTTTGATATGAGAGCTAAAAGAGCAGAGCTTGTCTCATTCTATGGACAAGTTTGGTGGTCAAAGCACAGTACTCAGTATATAATCTTCGTGTTGCAAGGTGACAATTGTTACTAAAAGGGAGCAAATATAGACTATCTTACTCAGCCCAAATCCATATTCTAATCATTACTCCCAGTATGCCATAGGACTCAATATTGTAAAATATTTTTTGCCCAATACTTTCACATGGTTTAGAAACTAGAAGAATTTGTATGTTCAAATGGTAATTAGTTTTAATAAACAGTCCAATTACAGATCAAAGGAATCACATTATGGTTCACCATTTTAATTCTTAATATGAGTCAACAATTCAATGAACCAAACAGATTTTTTCCCCTTTATATGGGAATCTTACAAGAAAACCTTGGTGAGTTGGAATTCAATTCATGTTATGGTGACATGGCCGTGTCATTTACCAACAAGGATTTTTGTCCATATACACAAGACAGTTATGTCCACTATACAACTTTCAAACACTGCAAGATCCCTTCAGATAATGTTGTTGCTAACTTTCCAACAAAAGTGATTTTTTGAGGGGTGAGATGGGGTTGAGGGCATATAATCGATTTCAAGCTCAAAGCAACTTTTGATATTTAATAAAATTTACCCAACAATGGTTTAGTTAAATTACTTTAGTGAGTAAAATTGAAGACAGATGCAAATAAAACACTTATAGATGGTTACACTGTACCTGTGATTCTTCCATTTAATGTTTTTAACGTATGTCATAGATCATATGGTCTAGACCAGAGGCATCAAACCCAAGGCATGGAGGAAACAGGTTTTTGCTTGCAAAACTCCCCAGTGCAACCTGAACTAGATTAAAATGCAATTGGGGAATATTTAATAAAGTAAATAAAAATACCTTAAAACATAGATAATGTCAGTTTATGTTTTCCTAAGTCGATTTGCGGGCCTCAGCAATCTGTATACATTTGAGTTTGATACCATTGGTCTAGATCACATTCAGTATCTAGTGCACATATGTTTTTCTTTTGATTTAATAATACTGATAAGATTTTAAATATTAGTAAAGCCTATTGGTGGTCCCTGTCTACTTTTTCAGATTTTCTGTACTTTATTTTCTACCACCTACTCTATGATGTAGCTATACTGACCTATTTGCAATTCCCTGGACACAACACTACATCTACCATCTCAGTGCCTTCCCCATGCCTAGAATGCTTTGCCCTCTCACACCTGCCACTTCTTTCCTCTAGCTTCCTTTAAGAAGACTCAGTTCAAATGCAGGAGGCCTTTCCCAGTAATTCCAGTTTCTAGTGCTTTCACCCCTGATATTATCGCCTCACCTACTATATATACATACTTAATACATCCAGTCATTTACATATTGTCTGCCCCCTTACTATGTGAGCTTCTTGAGGACAGGGACTATTTTAATCTTTTTTTTTTTATCACCAGCACCTAGTACAGTGACTGGCACATTAGCAAGCTGTTTAAGTATTTTTGATTGATTGTTGATTGAGTAAATAGCATATTGTTATACTTGGGGATAGCATTTAATTAAATTTGTTTATGTTGATTTCACTTACCTAAAATAAACTGCTAATTCATAATAATGGTGGAAAAACAACATTAATTGCTAAAAATCTAAATTATAGGACATATTAAAATTAATACCAATGAGATTATAAAGCATTTCAAACTGGGCTAATCGCATATGTCTAATGGAAGTTTTTGGCAATTTGATTAATGAATATATTAGAACTTTCAATTACCATATTTATTATTTGTATGTAAATGTTTACCCCTACAATGTTTCAAACATTTCAGGTCAAATATTGTCCTTGAAATATTGTTTAGACTATTTTTTAAATCAAATCCTTTTTCATTTTTATAAGAATAAACTCCATCCCATCCCCTTAATTATTATGAATTTGAAATCAGTAGGATCTCAGTCTATGAATAATTACCATTCCATATCATGTTGTTTATTATTGTTTGGTCATGTCTGAATCTACGTGACCCTATGGACATTTGTTTATACGTTTTCTTGGCAAAGATATGGAAGTAGTTTACCATTTCCTTCTCTAGTGTATCCCCATTTTATAGTTGAGCAACTGAGGCAAATAGGGGTTAAGTAACCTTTGCGGGATCACACAGATAGTAAGTGTCTAAGACCAAATTTGAACTCAGATCTTCCTGATGTCAATCCTGATGGTCTATACATTGCACCACCTGGCCATACCATGCCACTATATAAAGTATGATCTTAATTTAAAAAAAATCATTTCAATATAAATTAATACACAGATATATAAATGTCATAGGATGACTCGGGCTTTAACTGAGAACACTAATATCTTAAAGTAGCATTTCATCCCTCCACTCAAACAAATTTGCCTTAGTTTAATTATAGTTATAGTTCTTTTAATACATGATTAAAATTATGGGGAAATAATTCTTTTCCTCTCAAATACATTTCTTATCTATAGACACAAGAAAAAGA